TATGGCATGGGGGCTCCTGCCATAGCCAGAGAACTGTTACCACASCCTGGATACCCTAGGTATGGCCTGGAGACCCTCACCATGGCAAGAGAATGCTCACCACAGCCTGGACACCCTTGGTATGGCTCAGGACACCTGCTGTGATCCATGGCCCACAACTCCCATCATGGCTTTGTGACCCTCACCATGGTTTGAGGACCCCARCTGCTGCCTGGGGACCTCTGCCATGGGCCTGGGGACTTCCACAGTGGTGTGGAGGACCCCTGCCCCAGGGGGGAGTCAGGCCTTTGGGGATATCCAGCATGTGTGACAGCCAGCGGATGTTCAACGGGGCACAGGAGGTGCCCAGGAAGCTCTGGGTTTCTGGCAATTTCCTGACAGTGAGTCATGGTGGTGCCAGTCTCGGCCACAGGAGCTGTGCCGGGCTGGATGGCACTTTCAAGGAAGTGAAACAGGTGCCAGGAAAACACCCCAACAGCCCAAGTTCACGCAAGCCCAGCCACGCACATCCCCGGCCCTCCCAGCATGGTGCAATCTCCGGAACAACAGACGGATGTGAGGATGAGGACTGTCCCTGAAGGCCATGTCTCTGAAAGCCAATGTCCCCAGGGTGGCATGAGTGGGCACAAGAAACCCTGGGGACAGCAGGGTCCTGCACTCACTGGTGTTGGGCAGTGGGGATGAGAGGGGTGGCAGAGCTTGGCCCTGTTTTACCTGTGGTACCGTGGGTTTGGGCAGTGCAGGAGTGTTGTGGCTAACCTAGGACAAGGAGGAAGCCATGGGGACAAGAGGTGTGACAGAGGGGCACAGCTGGTCCTGGTGTACCTGTGGTACCGTGGGTCTGGGCAGTGCAGGAGGAAGCTGTGGGGAAATGATGGAGTGACAGAGGGGCACAGCTGGCTCTGCTGTGTACCTGTGGTACCGTGGGTCTGGGCAGTGCAGGAGGAAGCCATGGGGAAATGATGGAGTGGCAGTGCTTGCACCACCGGCCCCTTCCGGGGCAGCCACAATCCCATCCTGGCCCTGACAAGGATGGGTGTCATCACAGCTGGGCTCGGGGCTGGGACTGGGACTGGGACTGGGGGCTGGAGCTGGGGCTGGGCGAGTCCAACTCCCTGCTGGCACATAGTCACAGGCCCCACACATCAAAAATCCCAAACATCCTCTCTGCTCTCCGCCCCACACACTGGCCCTGGGGCTTYCTTCTGCTCTGCGCCACGCCCTGTCTCCAGATCATCCCCTCTCTGCCCCACACTCTGCTCCTGCAGCATCCCCTGCTCAGCTCCGAGCTCCACCTCCCCACTGCATTGCTCGGTGGCAACAACCCCCGCAAGCCCTCCGGTCTGAAGGAGGAATTGGGCAAAACCGGGCGTTGCGAAACCTGGAAATCCCACTCTGACGATGCTTCCTTCTGGAGGCTCTTGAAAACCAGCCACGCTGAGGGCAGGCTCAGAGAGCAGCCAAGCAGCACTGCAGGCAGGAGCARGCAGCCGAGTTTGCAGGTCCCGTCAAGTCTCTGCCCAGGACTCTGCAGTCAGTGACAGCAATGGCATTCGTCCCCGATTTGGACACACTGGAGAGCAGCAGGTAAGARTGARCACTGTGGAGAGGACTTTGGGGATGTGATGCTGCRTTCCTGACCCTGAGTTCACCATCTCCCTTTGCCTTTCAGCCTGAACGAGGAGACATTGTACGGCCCTGAGTGTCTCTGCCTGCAGAAGGTAACGCTGGTGTACTGGGAGCGGTGGGGTCTATATGGGATGGAAGCCAGGCTCTCATCCTGCATCCCCTTTCCTCCCCAACAGCCTCAGCTGGACTTGGAGCTGACATCGCCTGGGGTGGACATCCAGGTGACAGTGACAAAGGGACACCCTTCCAGGACCTTTCGCCAGGCTGCTGTCCTGGTGGCTGCTGTGACCAAGCTCCTAAGGCTGCCATCGCACAAGGACTTTGCTGACAGTGACCTTGGCAGCTTCTTGGATGATATTTTCGGTACGAGGGTGATGTCAGGGGTGTGATCTCAGCCAGAGGATATTCTTGGGGGATACTCTTGGATCTGGGAGCATCAACACCCCACTGACTGTCTCACTCCCCACAGAGCCCGTCTCCTTCCAGTGCATCAGGGCCAGTTATACCGGGGCACCCATTTTCCGCTACACTCGCTCCCAGTCCTTCGACATCCTGGACATTGACCACAAGTGCTTTGTACTGGAGTCACCCACCCAGCTGGTGGCCTTGCACCTGCAGGGACCCTCTGCTGGACGGAAAGGTGAGGGCATGTGGTCCCATCCCAACATCCCTGTCCCCAAACCCAGGACCCCTGAGTAGCCACCCCAGAGCCCCAGGAACACCCATTTACCTGTCCCTTCTCTCTGCAGTGAAGCTCAACATCGCTCTGTACCGTCCCCGGMCATCACAGGGCGGCCCAGGATCTGGAAGGATGCCAGTGGCGTTGGGCATCAAGGGCTACCAGCTCTACATGTCATGTGTGATGAGTGGCACCAAACCTGAGCTGCAGCTGGAGGTGAGCAGGGGGGTCCCACTGTTGCCGTGATCAGYCAGTTTCAATAATGACACAGACTGCACAGTTAAGGGGATAAAAAGGGTTTTACCACAGTATTTGGGATCCCAGGTTCACAACTCACKGGAAAAACATACCCTGGTATATAGCAAGGATATAAGTTTYATAGATTTCAGAAATTAGCATATCTGTCTARGATTCTTWAAYAKGAAACTTAACAAATGCAGTAATGTCCCCCTATTCTRATGAATCCCCCCCRGATGAGGCCAGAGCCCAGTTTACACAAGATGYTCCAGAGAGAAGGYTTCACCCAAGGCTGSAGYCTCGGGTTTAAGATAGCTCAGGGCACRCTGACCCCTTCCTGAGGATGTTTGGTCTCTCTGCCCAGCAGAACTACTAAACTAAGCTGGAATATCAGGCTACAGGAATTACTGGCACACAGGATATGGGGTACAAGGGATACATAAAGGGTGCAGAAAATGTATAAAGGATATAAAGTATATAAAAGGGCACATAAAAAGGAAAGGCAAAAATCATCAGGCATCACCACCAGCGTGCCCTCTGTGCAGCTGGGGGCTCCATTCCACCCTGACCCTCATTTCCCCCCGCTGGCTATAGGAAGCTGACATCAGGAGGGATATTGAGAGCGCGGAGCTGACGCGCTTCATCTTCTACCGCCTGGACAGCCCAGCGGAGGGCACCACCCGCTTCGAGTCGGCCGCCTTCCCCGGCTGGTTCGTCTGCACATCCCTGCAGCCCCGCCAGCCCGTGGGCATCACCAACACCCCCGACCAGGTGAACATTGCTACCTACGAGCTGAGGAGCTGAGCAGGTGCTGAGGAGCCTGCATCAACCCAACCGGCAGTCACCGGTTTTCAGGCTGTATGTACCGAGTACAACCCCCCTGGGACACAACTCCCATCTATTTCATGTGAAATAGCAGCTCTGGGCCCTATGGGCTCGAGCCACCCCAATTCGTACTTATTTATTTTTATATATATTTATTTATCTATTTATTTATTTATTTATGGTGTAAAGCCCTGTGCTTTTGTACTTATTTATTGTGCTCCCTTATTTGTTATTGCTTGTACCCTGTATGTGGATGGACATGGAAATAAAAGGTTTTCTAGGACAGCATTGCTCAGCTCATTGCTCTCATGGGGGATGGGGTTATGGATGGGAAAATCMTTCTGCTTTGGCTGYTTTTTGGGTGAAAACCCAGGGKGTGGGGGACCACAACTCTGACTTTTTGTCAGACCCATGCAGGACCCTCCAACAGCCCGTCCCCACGCCCACACCACAGCTGGGAGGTGGCTGGGGTGGGCATCCTGTCATCCTGGTGGGCATCCTGGGTGGTTTCCAGGCAGACCCAGCAGCCGCCTGGAGCTGTCACCTCTGCCCCAGCCGCTGCCAGCACATGGCACAGTGAGCCCCATCGCGACAGGACTACAAGTGGCGTGGCATGGCACGATACCACCTAGTACGATATGATTTACCATGTCATGCCATTTCACATCGCACCGCTGTGGCACGCATGGCATGGTACGGCACTATGTGACATTACATGACACGGCATGACATCGCGCTGTGGCTTGGCACGGTGCATCGCGACACGGCTTGTCAACGGTGTGGCAACGCGTGTCATTGCAGGGATCGCTCGCCGCCACTGTCGCCGCCACTGTCGCCGCACCCGCCGGAGGGGGCGGTGACAACGCGTGCCCTCAGCCAATCACAGAGCCAAAGCCGGCGTTTGGCTCTTCCCATTGGTCGGTTTGAAGAAGGCGGTGGCAAATAAACGCTGGCGGCGGTTGTTGGGAGTGCCGGTGGCTGCGCTGAGGCGGCGCTCGGGATGGA